ACACCTGGCAGTCAGCATAGAGAGAGCCACCTCCATCTTAGCTCCCTGTCAATCATTGTTATAAGCTCCGCCCTTTACACCTGGCAGTCAGTATAGAGAGAGCCACCTCCATCTTAGCTCCTTGTCAATCATTGTTATAAGCTCCGCCCTTTACACCTGGCAGTCAGTATAGAGAGAGCCGCCTCCATCTTAGCTCCCTGTCAATCATTGTTATAAGCTCCGCCCTTTACACCTGGCAGTCAGTATAGAGAGAGCCGCCTCCATCTTAGCTCCCTGTCAATCATTGTTATAAGCTCCGCCCTTTACACCTGGCAGTCAGTATAGAGAGAGCCACCTCCATCTTAGCTCCCTGTCAATCATTGTTATAAGCTCCGCCCTTTACTCCTGGCAGTCAGTATAGAGAGAGCCACCTCCATCTTAGCTCCCTGTCAATCATTGTTATAAGCTCTGCCCTTTACACCTGGCAGTCAGTATAGAGAGAGCCGCCTCCATCTTAGCTCCCTGTCAATCATTGTTATAAGCTCCGCCATTTACACCTGGCAGTCAGTATAGAGAGAGCCACCTCCATCTTAGCTCCCTGTCAATCATTGTTATAAGCCACGCCCTTTACACCTGGCAGTCAGTATAGAGAGAGCCACCTCCATCTTAGCTCCCTGTCAATCATTGTTATAAGCCCCACCCTTTACACCTGGCAGTCAGTATAGAGAGAGCCGCCTCCATCTTAGCTCCCTGTCAATCATTGTTATAAGTTCCGCCCTTTACACCTGGCAGTCAGTGTAGAGAGAGCCGCCTCCATCTTAGCTCCCTGTCAATCATTGTTATAAGCTCCGCCCTTTACACCTGTCAGTCAGTATAGAGAGCCACCTCCATCTTAGCCCCCTGTCAATCCTTGTTATAAGCTCTGTCCACCTGGAATAAAGAGTAATCACACAAAATAATTAATATTCATGTAATATTTATCATTGCCTTGCCTTGTCTGAACTGGATAATGGTGTCATTTGCTAAATCTTGAATTTGAAAAAAGGAGCATTTCATGAAAAAGGTTAACACAAGTTATAGGTGATTTTTAATAGGGATTTTCATGGGCAAAAAATGTGGGGACTACTGCAATTCGGGACTTCTGCAGTTCGGCACTTCTGAAATTTGGAACTTTGGCAATTTGCCACTGACCCTACCCCTAACCCTACCCCTAACTCTAATCCTAACCTCTAACCACCACAACCACTTACACATCTAGGGTTAGGGGTTGGGTTAGGGGTAGGGTTATATTAAACAGTAGAAAAGTTAAATTTAATCATCAAGTTAATTTGCAAAACTGAAATAAATACAGAACTGCTATAACTTATCAATATTTAATGTTATTCTAGCTTGGGGTAAACACAGAACTGCTATAACTTATCAATATTAAATGTTATTCTTGCTTGGGGTAGAACACTTGATATCCACTTATCAATATTAGAATCCCCACCTGCTGTTCATGGCTGTTATAAATATTTGAGCCCTCAGGGGTGGGGTCTGTAAGGGACATTATCAGGTTTATTTCCTAAACACTGGTTTTGTCCGGTAAAAAAAAATTCCAGTAAAAATGACCAAATTCAAACCACAGTGGCAATTCTTATATTTACGAAAGCCACATGAAGTTGGAATTTGCTTGGCACAAGAGAATCATCCAGATGCATTTAATGTCATGATTGCAATCGGTGCTTTCCCATCAGAATCCTATCCAAAGTATATTATTCTGAGGATTTACAAAGCATCAATTTCAAACTCGAAATGGATGAAATGCATAAGGCAAGATTTAAACTTGCAAACTTTCATTCACTTGGCTTTTTTGTTAGCAACCTGCGGGCAAATTGTTAAAAATCGCCAGCTGCGTGAGGGTTAATTATGTTGCGGTTAGTCAGCCACCACACATAAAAAAAAGTTAAAAAGAATGTGCTACGACCTGGCTTACACACAAATTGCATAAGTTCCTTTTAATGAATGCTGTAATGACTATGCTTTGCATTGAAAAATAAAGAATAAAAAAAATAAATAAAGAAAAGTAAAAAATAAAGACAGCCTATGGGGTCAATACGATCCCTATATCACTATAAAGGAGGTTTTAAATCTCTCCATGAAATCACTGTTTAAACTACTAAAAGATATCACCAGCTCAGTAAATATGTCAAGTCTCCGAGGAGAAAAAAGGGGCTCATCTAGACAGTCTGTAGATGGACCATTACTCCAGTCATGGTGCGTCTCGATGAGTATAAGGTGTTTTTTACTTGTGTTGGAATTTTTGTGCACCCCTATTTCCTTTTTCTTTAACTTGTTTTTTCTGGGTTGTTTTTGATGGACTCAACCTATAGGATTGGTGCATCTCACTTAAAACTAATTAAGGAGTATCTTCTCACATTTATTAGTTTTACTAGTATATATTATGTATATAAAATGACCCTGTTCTCCATTCTTTGTTGCCAGATAGACCTGTGATTACCTATAGAGGTGTTAACAACTTGAGCAGTAGTCTAGTACATAATCATTTACCATCAAGTAAGACTACTAATAAATCATCCTTTTTTAATGAGACTAATGGATTTTATGGGTGTGGCTCATGTGGAGCTTGTAGGAATACACAAAGTTCAAAAAGAGTAATTAGGGAATTTAATCATCCTAAAGATGACAGCAAGAGTTTTAAGATTAAACAATTAATTACATGCCACTCCACAAGGGTAATATATAAAATTATGTGCCCATGCAAACTTACATATGTAGGAAGAACCATTAGGACACTCAATACACGAATCCAAGAACATATAAGAAATATTAAAAATGGTTTCGAGAAACATAGTGTTTCTCAGCACTTTAAGGATAAACATAATTGTGACCCTCGCTGTATGGAATTCATGGGAATCCAAAGAATTTCTATGAATTGGAGGGGGGGAGATCTAATGAGGAATATAGGTCAAACTGAGATGAAGTGGATTTTTAATTTAAATACAATGCAACCATATGGATTAAATGATGATTTCGAAATTTGTCATTTTTTATAATTATACTTCAGTTTTATATATATTTTATATTAGAGATCTTTATATATATATACTAATTATTTTTACTAGATTATACTATTTCCATTTTTAATTATTATTTTTTTAGTTAAATCATCATGATGACCATATAGTGTGCATTTTTTAATTATGCTATAATATATCTTTTAACTGTTTTGTATTACTATATACACTCCTCTAAATCATTGTCCCCCATTTTTTTCCTTATCATGATTTAAATTTCGAATAACTATTTATATTTATGGACATTTCTGGGATATTGGATAATCAGTGATCTGAACTTGGATACCGAATGGATTTTGCCCTTAAGCAAGATGGCCGCAATACTATTGAGGATACCCAACATATTTCTTCACCAAGCAAAATGATCCCAATATCACGAATGGCTGGATTAATTGATATAATCAAATAAGACTTTTTTATAGTATTCGCTAAGTTGTTTTATTATAATCTTTTGTATGTGATATTGTATGTAATTGTGTACGATTGCAGCCCACTTCCGTAAGTGACGTCACGCGCACGAGGCGTCATGCGTGATGACGTCACGACATCAGTGATATCGGAAGCAGCTGGGCTTCACACTGGGACTAACGCCGTGATTGGATGTATCACGGACGTCTCCCTCCAATCAGCTCCCTACTAATGGGTATTTAAACTTCGGTTTAGCAGCATTATGTCCACCAATTGATAAAGCCGAACAGTATATCGTCGAAACGCGTCTTGGACACAGCACTGGCACTTGAGTATACAGATCTTATTTGTTTTTATAAGTTGCAATAAATGTTTATTTCTGTTACCAAGTTGACTAGTGATATATTTATGCTGCTATCAAGAAGGGAAGTGTCACTCTATAATTGACACTGTGCTTATACACTTGGAGCCCAGTTAAAGGCTCCTGACAAGGTGAGAAGTAAATTGTCATTTTCCTCACCTGATTACCTACTATATTAAGGATATCTGCACTAGGGTTAGCTCTGCTTCCCTATTTCTCCTATTTTTGTCTCCATTCTGAGGTCTCTTATTGAATATGGCGATTTAAAGGATCCTATTACCATCATTTTCATTACCTCCTGAAAGTTGCAGGAGTAAGTGTGTGTTTTTATTTTTAAGCGCTCCACCTTTGCACTGTTTTCTGCATGTATTTGCACTAAAGTGTTTTTCTCTATACACTTGATTATAAGTAGGTTGAAGAGTTCCTACTTTTGGTGTGTAAGCTGCTATTTACTATACTGTGTATTATACTATATTCACATTTTTTAAGCGCCTTTTACACAGCACATTTATCTTTTAATATATTATGTTTAGAATACAATCTGCTTCCCTATTACACATTATAATTTTACCTCCTAATGCCCAGAGGGAAGGGCAAGGGCAACCATTCGGCCTATCTAGTCTGCCCAATTTTCTAAATATGTTCATTAGTCCCTAGCCTTATCTTACAGTTAGGATAGCCTTATGCCTATCCCAGATTCCTTGTGAGTCTACAGGTAACCAACATCTTAGCCATCTTCCTGGCCAGATCTGTAATACTAGCCAAGTTAGAATTATGCCCATATTCCCTACCTCCTTGTTGGAGCTTGCAATGTTACTTTAATTTCATTCTACGAAATGTCCTTAATAAATGTAAAATCAATTTGCATACATGTCTTGTGTATTTTTTGTAACTTAAATGATTACATTGGCTGATTAGATGTTTAAGGATTAGGTAGCTACAATTCAGTTTTAGAGGTAAAGTATTTTGATATAAGGTGACAGTGCTTGTGTAGGGCAAGTTATCTCAGTTATTATAAACATCAAGGAATAAAAGATTTCCAATAATGGGGAACTATTTATGGAATTCTAATAAATCTCACAGAAGAAAATAATAGATAAATAAAAAGCAGGCATTGAGGTTTAGACCATCTTATATGGGATCACTGTTACAGAGAGTGAGGCATTTGGAGCAGACATTGTGATATGATTGCCTGTATGGAAATGTCTACGAGGTTCTTACCCCAACTGCGCTGGTCTCACAGTTTATATTGTCACTCGCCTGTTAATTGTGCCACTCAGATCAATGTAATATGCCACCAAGCCATAATTTAGTGGTGGCATTCCCGATAAATCACCTGTTATGCAGGGATTATGGAGATGTTAACATTAAGTCAGAATGCATATTTACAATCATAGTCTCATATTAGTGGGTGATAATATTTTACCTTAAGTTAGCCTCTTGTGGGCAGGTTCTGAATATTCACAAACAGAATATTTCATAATTATGTTCATATTAAATGAATCTTCTTTGCCTAATTCTCCTCAATTACCTTACTCCTCCACCAGTCATTAAATTGGTCTCCTATATGCTGAAAGGTACATTTCAAGGGTTTAGTTTTAAATTATATTCCTTGTTCAAATGACTCGCTCTCCACTGCAGGGCAGGACAAAACATTGTAATTGTGGAGGCAAAATTAGAAAACACTTACAGGTTTATTCACTAAACTGGGTGTTATTAGGTATTTTTAGGTAAAACTATCCATTTTCTATGTCAGAATGTGTTTGGCTTAACATTTGAAATTCTTTGATCAATTCCCAGCAGTTCCTGGTTTACTGAATAACTCTGTTAACCTCACACTTAAAATTGTGGTGAAATTTAAATAGTTGACATAACACTAAATTAAACGTTAGAAAAACACACATAAGAGAGGCATTTTTACAAAAGATTTCCTTTCACATATTGAGAGCCACATATTGAGAGCCTCCCAAACTCTGCACAGAAAGCGCAAATACGATTGTTTTAAAGTCGATGTCATTGAGGATTATCTCAGAACCTGGATAAATCCCATCGCGGTGAAGAACGGCCTCACCTTGGCTCTGATCTATTGCTTCGCTCGGCTGAGTCTCTCAAAACTGACAGGAAGAGCTCATGCTGACTGTGGGCCCAGTCAATGAGCTGTAAAATAGATCAGAGTTAGTACCTCAACAAGATCCTCCAGGTACAGGGTTTAATCTTCGGAAAAATCATTGCTGACATCACAAGCGCGAGTTAACTGCGAAGCAGGGGACCCCACACGGTCCATTACTGTACACTAATATTCATTTTGCCCCTAGAACTTGGGAGAATAAGCAGGAAGATTGTTTTACAGTTCTGGGAATAGTGGATACAATCATTACTTGCTCCACATGTTACAGAACTTGCGCAGCATATCATAAAAAATACTCCCAGATTACTCTCTACCTGGTGACATAAGATTCATAATTAAACTGTGCAATATATATATACCAGGAAAAACCTCAAAATTCATCACTACATTTTTATGCAATAGGTGCACTTTCAGGTTGTTGTTTTTTTATGACAGAGGACGTCAAAGAAACTTAACGAGGGATAAAATCAACAGTGACACTTGGTATATCTTTAGGTTGCTGAGGCATGAATATTTGATGATTACTTTTCCATACATTTCTTATTGTTGCATGTCTGGGATCCATACAGAAAAAGCTATACATTCTAAATTGGCCAAGTGCCTTGAATGTGACACAGTGTATTTCACTGGGAATAGCTAACTTCCTGCTGCCATAGCAACTCTACTTACAACAAAACACAAGATACACAATGCTATCTGTTCAGTATTATCAATAAGTCAGTGTGAAGCTAGGCTTTGGCAGCCTTCATTGTAAACACATTCTCCGAGTTCACTTGTGCAATGCATGTTAGAACACAGAATTACTTTGAGGTCCTTGTCTGCTTTCAAGTAGATACATCTCTCTTTCGCCATACATGGCAACCCTTTAATTCAGGAAAAAAGAAAGAGATCAGCAATAAGTCTCACCGAAGTCATAAACACCCGATATAGTTGATTACAATTCCATTTTCAGGCAATAAAAACTAAGCATTTTCGGAGTTTGGAGATAAAACCCTAAACATACAAAATAAAGAGACTGGAACCTCACTTAGGTCAACCTTGAGTAGGACCAGAAAACCTTACAACTGGAAATGTTTGCAGAATATATTTATTATTATGCTCAGCAGTGATGCGGCTGAATAACCTCCTGCACAAAACATTTTGAATCCTCTACAGCTTTTTGTTTTTTTAAATGAAGCATGTGAAAAAATTATTTGAAACACTTCTCCTTACCTCTAGTATATGACAGAATCCTTCATACTTGCACCTTGAGTCAGATAGTGTTTGAAAACTGACAGACTCTATGGTTTTCCCTGTTTCTTTTCCTGCACAGAAGTAGGAAAGACCATAGAGACTATCTGTCAAATGTAATCACTGTCTGACCCAAGGTACAAGTGCAAGGTGTATGTATATGATGGAAGGATCCTGTCACTCGTGGCTACCTTCCTTTGGAACAGCCTGTGTACCCCATCAGGCTCTCCCCCAGTCTTCAATTGTTTAAGAAGTCCCTCAAAATCCATCTGTTTAGAAATGCTTATGGAGGCCCAGAGTAACATATCTATACTTATCCATATCGATCTCTTGCTCTCCTAAAAAGCCACCCTCCACTCTCACCTTTAGTTCTGCTACTTTTCCACCTTGTTTGGTGGCTGTCTCCCTTGCTGCCCTGTGTTTTTGTACCCCACCTCCTCTAGACTGTAAGCTTGTTTGAGCAGGGCCCTCATCTACCTATTGTTCCTGTGTCACTGTGTAATTGTTTCATTTGTTGTAAAATTTCCCCCCTTCCATTATATTGTAAAGCGCTGCGGAATTAGTTGGCGCTATATAAATGCTAATAATAATAATAATATTAATAATAATATACTAAAGATAGTGGTATGTTTTTCTATTTTTTTTTACATATACTTCATTTGAATAATAATTTTAATTTTAAAATTATGATTATAGTTTTGAGGTGCGAGTTGTCATTAATAAAGTACACGTTTGGTCACTGGTAAGCAAAACTATTTGTTACAATATAAACTAATTGATATGTGTGACGGACCGCCTGGCACCCTGATCGAGTACCTCCATCAATCGCTGCTTCCTAGTACTTGCGAGCACCATAAGCACTGCACTGAAACACCATAACCACCGTACATCCCCATGAACCACCGAAGCTTGGTTGGGGATCTCGCCGTCCTCCACTCACCCTGGACCCAAGACCAGGATTCAGCTTCTAGTTGGTAGACCTCTTCTAGTCCAGAGACCATAGTAAGAACAGCTCTTATAAGAGCTAGTGATTATACTCAGGGGAGTATTGTGATATAGCAATCCCCAGAGTGAATATAGTTCTCAAGTCCCCCAAACATGAGCCAAGACTTCATGAAGGGGTAAAACCAACTCAGTTTAATGGGAGCCAAACTTGGCCTTATATGACAATCCCCATGCAAGGGGTACGCCCACATGGACCTGCTGATGGACTGATTTACAACGTCACAGACCAATAACAATAAGGTTACAAGGCACAACACTCCCACACACAGCACACAATCCCTCCCCTCTGCCTGGGTCAGATACTGTATTAACTCAATTATCTCCAGGCAGAAAAATCATATATTTCTATAAAACCCCAAAGTACCCCCAAAACACATAATATCTCCAAAAATGTTACATCCCCTGATAACCCTGATCTGGGTGACCAACATATCCAAAAATCATCCAGATCAGTTTAGGGGTTCAGGAATTCTTACCAAATGCCCGTTCGAATAGCCAAACATCCGTGGAAGGTAAATAGTTAGCGGTGTTCATGCCGTCGAGTGTCCGATTTGGGTTCCATGTAATCAACGATCAAACACCGCTCATTGGCTCACTGTCACGGCAAGGGTGTATAATTTATTATGACACTATGGAATATCATCTTTTAATGTGATTTCTTGTAGTAAATGGCGCAAATTACAGAGATGCTATTGCTGAGGTCAACAGGGGTTACATCTTCTGAAGCTGGGACCCCCACAAAGGTCAGATGACAGAAGGGGTAGTGTGAATGGCATAGGAATGTGAAAAGGATTTTACTATATGGATGTGAAGTAATAAAAGCTCTGCAAGGTGTGAGGTTCTACACTTGGAAAAAGTCTGAATGTCTCTTCATCCATTTGGCATGTACCTTGTAAGGGATGAGTAAATCTCTTTGATATGTAAATGCCATTAGCTTTGTTCTAGTATCATATCCAAAGGAAGGACAAAAACATTCATATTTACCCCCACAGAATAATAATAAAGCCTCATTTTTGTTATATTTGGAATGTGACAAGCGCCATCTTCTAACCAAGTCCAAACATGAGTGGCCTAACTTGACCCTAGGGAAAGGAATTGTGATGTCCGTCCTATTGGATCGTGGGTGGGACGTGCAACATGTCTATGGAATGGGAAAATAATAACAAATTTGTAGATGCAATTATTATTTCTGTGGCAGGTACAAAAAGGAAGATAGAGTCAAATGTTTCCATTTGGATTGACAGTGGTCTGGAACAAAGGAGGTGGTCAGTTATTATTTCTGTAGGTACGCCTTAACTCCACCCCTGGGCAAGACTTGATAAACCACAGGGTGTATCTCTAATGATCCTGAAGGGTGTTTGTGTACTTGCTTGGGGCCAAGATCTAATTTTGAGTGAGTCACCATCTTTCCTTACCAGAGACCCCCTGGACAGAAGTTGTACTTTGAAAAACCTAAGTGAGTAATTAGGACTTCTGTATTTTATCCTTTTTGTTTTTATCTGTTGTTGGTGTAAATAATTTGTTTATCATATATTTTTATATGCACTGTGACTATCTTTTGCTCATAATAAACATTCATTTATTAAGTTTTGCCTTTGTCTGGTTAAGAATCACGTTACCTGAAGAGACTAGTTAGTATTTTTGCAATAACTTAAATATTGTGCTAAGTCATATTTGGTGGGTTTTATTATTGATTTACCTGGGGGACCAAGGCACCCCATTTATAAATTGTCTTGGTGGTGGCAGCGTTAAAATAGTAATAGTTATATTATTATGTTTAAGTGTGGGTGGTTTTAAAAAGGGGGATTTTGTCATTATTTCCGGTCTAGTGCAGACAAATAGTGTACTTTAACCCCTTCACCACCACAACTACGTCACGCGCACTCTTGGAGTAGGGTGCGTTCGTGACACTCACGGCTTAAAATGGCCGCCGCCACGTGTTCGAATGCTGATTCGAACTGCTTTGAGAGTTCGAAGTGCTGCTTCGGACCACTTCGGAAGCTTGAAGTGTTACTGTACAAGTCCAAAAAGGCACAAACAGTGTCTTTAACCACAGTTTATTCCAGGGGCCATAGTCACAGGGGAGGAGGCTGGCAAACAGGCTCCTCCAAGAACC